AGGCAGATGTATTCACTGGTGTCTCTTAAAATAGGTTCTTGGCACACGACTTTAATTCCAGCACTTGGGAGGCAGAGGCAGGTGGATCTTTGTGAGTTCGAGGCCAGCCTGGTCTACATAGTGAGTTCTAGGACAGCTGGGGCTACAGGGAGACCCTACCTCAAAACGACAAAAAAAAAAAAAAAGGTTCTTGGTCGAGGAAAGAAATGGGGAATCAACATTGCTGTGTCAATCTGGAAAATGCTTCCGAGTACTTCAAAAGCATTTGAGACTTTCAAAGTACCATGGCCTTTTACTTCAAGCAGTCTAACATGTAGTGTTTAACCTTCCATTGATCATCTGGAATACGAAGAACTAACATTTTGCATTTTAAAGGCTCCTGTAAAAAAAACCCAAAGTACTTCTTAAATGTTAATGAATTCTTACATAGGTATAACATGGGTACCTAGTTTATGAAGAACCAATTACTTAGCACCTATGGAGCACTCTAGATATGGACAGACTAATAATTTTAAAAATACTGTTTTAGGTAGAGAAAAGCCTTGGGATGAAGTCCTATTTCCTGTTTATCCCATGCTCTATTTTTCAGACCATGGTCCCCCTTAGCATACTTTGGGCAGGGAAGGATACTTCTTTATATGAAGTCTCAAAATCAGGAATCGAGAATTTTTGAAAATTAAGTTTAAAGTAATTCCAACGATGAAGTGCTTAGGGGTGGGTCCCTTTGCTCTTCTACCCACTAGGAATTCTGGGAGCAGAGCAAGAGGTAAGAGGAGCAGCAAGGGCCAGGCAGCAGTGAAGCTGAGGAGCTCCTACTCAAGGCTTGGACACTCACTACTCACCCTTCACTTAATAAGAACAAAAGCAAATTTGGGGATTTTTTTTTTTTTTTTTTTTTTTTTTTTTTTTTTTTTTTTTTTTTTTAAAAAAAAAAAAAAAAAAGTCTTTTTGAGACAGGGTCTCCCTGTAGCCACAGGTGGCCTGGAAATTGCTATGTAGATCGACTGGCCTTGAACTCACAGAGCTCCATCTGCCTCTGCCTCCCCAGTGCTAGGATTCAAGGCATGTGCCACCACACCCAGCTAAATTTGGAAATTTTATAATTACAGGCCTTTGATTAGTGCACTACATTTCTCTATGACAAACTAGACAATTGTTCAATCTATGTGATACAGAAAGCCTGGCATAAATAGCACTGTACAATCTCAAAAGAGGTCCAAAATATGGTTCCCTACTCTTAAAATGGAGAATCTTAAGCCAGATGTAGTGTTGCCTGCATGGGAGGCTGAGGAAGAGTTCTAGGCTAGCTATGCTAACCTGAGAGGCCCTGTCTCAAAGAAATAAAAATGAACAGAAGACAGAGACTTAATGTACACATTTTCCAAAACAAGTCTTTAAACTGCAAGATCTCAGAAGTCTTGGAAAGTACCACTAACTTTGAGCTTTCCAAAAGTGTCTTGTGTAGGTAGGTACTATGCTTGCTTTAACAGATCCTTTAGGGAACTGTTTAATAAATAAACTAAGGCCTTGAGAGGGATGAACTTAATCTACAACAGCTAATTACAGAACACAAACCTCTGGATACCAACTCCAGAATTCTTTCCTATGTGCTAATTAACAGTGCAGGTATAACTTTAAAAAAGTGAAACTAGGGCTGGGTGTGATACCACACACCTTTAGTCCCAGCAGAGGCAGAGGCAGAGGCAGGGACAGAGGCAGAAGCAGGCAGATCTCTGTGAGATCGAGGCCAGCCTGGTCTATACAGCAAGTTTCAGGCCAGCTGGGGCTACAGGAAGACTCTGTCTCAAAAACAAAACAAAACAGTGAAACTAAAAAACACACATAGGTTCTACAGGCACTTACATTTCCATAGCTGACAGGTAATTTATAAATTGTAGGTGAGTTACATTTTAAGTAATAAAATCGCATTTTAATGCAACAGGGACTTTATCAGAGGAACGCTGCTTCCGGAGCTCTTGAAATGCAGGCTATTATAAAGTTACTTTCTCAAATTGTATCTCACTTTAGTATTTCACATCTAAACTAGGAAATCCAAGCCACTGATCAGTTTTTTATTATTAGACATTTGCTGAGTTTTTATAAGTGACCCACAGAAAATCTTGGCTACTATTTTATTTATGAGTGCTTATAGGGCAAAAGTAGCATGAAATAATCATTGCTAAGAAATCTACGTAATTTCAGTTATTTGAAATAATAGACTAGGGCTGGAGAGATGGGTTTCTAGGTTAGGAATACTGGCTGCTCTTGCAGAGGACCTAGGTTTGATTCCCAGCACCCACACATCAGCTAACAACTGTCCGTAACTCCAGTTCCAGGGTATCTGACACCCTCTCCTGACCTCCACAGGCACACTTACACACATGCAGACAATACACTCATACACACAAAATAAAAATAAAAAAAAGAAATTAAAAAAAAAAAGGAATAGTAGAGATTAAAGGCAAGAAAGTCCTTGGGGCTGACCACATCAGAACTTCACTCTTTTTTTTTTTTTTTTTTTTTTTTGGAGACAGGGTCTCCCTGTAGCCCCAGTTGATGTGGAACTATATAGACCAGGCTGGCCTGGAACTCACAGAGATCCACCTGCCTTTGTCTTCCCAGTGCTGGGACTATAGGTATGTGCCACCACGCCTGGCATGAGATTGGATTTAAATGCAAGAATCTGGACTCCTAAAAGATGTGGTTCAGAAAGGACTGGAAAGCAAAATATTTCAGGAAGGAGGTATATTGGAAGGATATTTAATCAGGGCTCAGGCTCAGCAAGCACACAGGGAGTCTTCCAGTTATCAGACTTGAACTATAAGATAGACACAGGCATTATGGCTTTTCACATGCTTCTCAAAACTATGGCATGTTTAATATCAGGATTTGAACATACATTGCATGTAATGGAAACTATGACGCATTTTCAAAATAACTTTATATTATGGATACACACACACTTTTTTTTTGGTGTTTTTGAGACAGGGTCTCCCTGTAGTCCCAGCTGACCTGGAACTCACTATGTAGACCAGGCTGGCCTCTAACTCACAGAGATCCATCTGCCTCTGCCTCCCAAGTGCTGGGATTAAAGACGTGTGTCACCACGCCCAGCGTTTTTTTTTTTTTTAACAAAAACTTTATTGAGAATTTCATATATGCATGCAAGGTATTTTGACCAAATCTATATTTTTTTTTTACAAGAAAATAAAGTATACTTTAAAAGATGGCCCATTTTTGGATGAATTTAGAAGAAAAGAGATTTCAAAGAAATGTCGATTTTAGTAGGGAATCTTATGCTGTACTTAAAAGTTTCACTGTTTGCTTTTCTTAGAAAAGCCTGGAAGGCAATGACAGGAAAAAAGTACTACCTTTGGAAAAGACTAAATTCTGCTACTTAGTGACCTCACAAAAGTCTAAGACATATTACTGTTATAATCACATACAAAACATTTACTAAGGTGACTGACAAATACGTGCTTACTAAACTGACAAAGGCTGAAGTAGGGGCAGAGCCTGTTCACCTTGCCTTAGAAGAAGAGACACGCTGTGGCTGAGAAATCTACCGAGCTTCCTCAGAGAATAAAAACTCAGAAGTACGAACTATATTGAGTCCAGTCTAACTGGGACATGGTTAGACATGAAGAGGACATGTGAGGTACACTTACTCTAGATCAAAGCTTTTATATACACTCTTACTTAACCTTCAAGACAACCCAATAACTAACTTTTACAAATGAAGTAACTGTGAAGTTTAAGAAAGTTGAGAAGGCTGTAGTCAAACAGCTAGTTAGATAATAGAATGGGCACTTGAACCCAAGTCATTTTACCACAGTTTGCTCTAATGAGATCCTTCTCCAAATGGGAGGTTAGTTTCAATAAATGAGATAAAGTGTCAGGAATCTTCTTTTTTTCTAAAAAAAAATTTATTATTTTTATTTTATGTGTATGCGTGTATTGCCTACATACAGGTAAGTGCACCTGTGTTGTACAATGCCCGTGGAGGTCAGAAGAGACTGTCGGATCCCCTGGAACTGGAGTTACGGACAGTTGTTAGCTGCCATGTGGGTGCTGGGCTTCGAACCTGGGTCTTTTGCAAGAACAACCAGTGTTCTTAACTGCTGAGCCATCTCTCCAGCCCCAGTCAGGAATCTTTTATAGCATTCCAAGAATAAATTAATAGGGGAGTTTCAATATAGTCATCTTCAAGTACTTTACAGAACTCTCATTAATTTAGGCTATAGTGTATGAAATTTACAATAATCTATATACAATTTGAAAAGACTTCTGAAAATACTCTTCATATTTTCCCCCCTCCCTCTGTAGTTCTTTTATTATTGAATTAAGGGATTCCTCAAGGACTTCTACAGAAGGGTCACACTGAATTCTAGCCAATAGAATAGCTGAGCCAAAACAAAACTGTGGATGGTATACACATGCCAACATGCCAATCAGTGAAGTAGGAAACCTCTATTCCCCTTTTTGTTGGTTCACCTTTCTCATCTCCAACCACTCCCCGACTCCCATCTTACTGAGTTTTTGTAAAGCCTTCTGCCAAATAACAGAGAGCTGAATAAGATCTTCTAAAAGCTCAGTCCAGTAACATTTGAAATAGTAAGACCACACAATTGACAGCTGAAACACACGTACATGCAAACACACACAAGCATAAAAAATAGTAAAAATGGAAAGATGTAGAAAAAGAAAAGCACTGAGTCCAAGTACTGAGGAGCAAAAAGGAGTCACCAGAAAGCAAGATGGGGTGACCTACTTTTTTGAGACTGGAAAGCATGTAACCATGTGATATGTTTCAGAGAACTGGAGGGTTTCAGAGTAAGTATAGCCAGGCCAATGTGTAGAGACTCGACCCTAAAATGCTATGCTAATGGATCCGCATTTCCCAGTTATGACTATGGAGCCCTCTGAAACTCACAATGTAAAGAAATGTCAACAATAACATGTTTAAAGTTTTTAGTTTCTTAAAACCCCAATACTAAAGATGAAGTAAATTATCTTTTATTTTCATTGTACAGTTACCAAGAGGCATGCAGAACACTTCCATTTTAATGAGAGCAGTGTTTTTGTGTCTTTTTATCACATATCCGTTTAATATTAGGTGTAATGTTGCTTAATCGGATCCGCATATGAGGTGCAGCATCAAGTCTTTTCCTGTATTTGGTTTTTGTTGCAGCATAATAGGAAAACCCTGTTTCACACAGGTGCATTGTAGCAAAGGGAAGAAGCACACGGACTGCACGCCTTGCAATGCTTGGGTATTCTTGAATTAGGCCACTCCAAAAGTCAGTTAATGAAAGTTCACTAAAACTCTGTTTCACTTGGGAATCAGATGTTAAGTCAATCAGGCTTTCATAGTCCTGTGCGACTAATGAGGCTGGTTTAACTGTTACTGTAAATGGATTTCTAACCCAAGCATTATTGTCATTTGTTATAGGAAAGTATTTTAGAAGAGTGGTGCGCAAACCCCTCAGATGCTGTATGATAGCAGTACAAATGTCTTTATCAACCATAGAATTAATTTCAGTCAAAAAGTCACTGAGTGTAGGAAAACAATCAAAGTTTTCTTCTTCTACAGATGAAGCCCAAAACTCCAATTTTCTTAACAGTGATGACATTTTATCAAACACTGTAAACACTGTAACATTTTTTCCTTGCATTGACAGATTGATTTCATTTAATTTAGTAAAAATGTCAGCAAGATATGCAAGTCTTAGCAGCCAAGAAGAATTTGTTAAACAATCAGACAGTCGAAAAGCAGAATCCATGAAAACCAACAGTTCACGCCGAAGCTCAAAAAGTCTTACAAGAACTTTACCTCGGGAAAGCCACCTCACTTCTGTATTTAGAAGAAGTGCTGTGTGCTGAGCACCCATTTCTTCACATAAAATTTTTAGTAGTTGAGATTGATGTGGTCGAGCTTTAATGTAATTGACTATCTGTACTGCTTGATCTAGCACATTCTTCAGCGACATGGGCATGATGTTCATAGCTAGTGCATGTCGGTACAACAAGCAGTGACTATTGGTGCTTTCCGGAGCCATGTACTTCATCAAGGTGACAGCCTCGGCAATTTTTCCATCCACTGCCCTAGAAGCATCACTGCACACATCAACACATCTTTTCCACTCAATTTCATGTTTCTGCATAAAACTGTTAATGCAGTTGAAGATTTCTTCACCAGTAGCATTACTCTGCAGAGATTCACACAAAAGTAGGTCTTCCTCAATAGACTTATTAAACCTATAACGAACAAATACAAGCAGTACAGCAAGTCCTGAAACATCAGCGGATTCATCTAGTTGCAATGAAAATGCATCACAAATTTTCAGTCTACACACAAGCTCCTCTTCAATGTCAGCAGCTAGGTCTTTAATTCGACGTGCAACTGTACTGTTCGAGAGTTGTACTGCATCTATTTTTTTACTATATTGTTCATCAAACATCCGCATCACTACATCCTTTGCACAAGGTTTGATAAGCAATTCTCCAATAGTGTGAGCCTCTCCACTTAGGGCTATATGGTAACTTACATTGTATGATGCTTCCGTGGCACTTTCATTATCTGTATTGACAATTTTAGGTGCCGGAGGCTTATTATGTTCAGGTGAATCCAGATGCTGCTTGAAAAAGCTGATGTCTTTGTCTCTATATGCAGCATGCTTAGTTTCCAAATGCCTTCGAAGCTTACTGGGGGCTAAAGAACTATTTGATAAAATTTTCTTACATAATACACACTGAGCATGAGGTGCATCTCTATTTCCAAAGTAAGTAAATCCAAAAGACAGATAACTTTCATCATATTTTCTTCTTTTTGGTCTCTTACTAAATGTAGCTATTTTACTGGAATTAGACATAAATCTTACCCTGGCAAGCTCACCTTCTGATTTTTCAGGAACTGAAGGCTGTACCTGGTCATCTTCACTTTGTAATATTCCAACCTTGTGATTGTTTGATTCAGATACAATTTCGTAACAGAATGATTCTACTTCTTGTTTAAGACTTCCTTGTTTCAGCAAAAGATCCATGGGCAATGAATTTGTGGTACAAAACATGGTTACTTTATACCTAACACTGAATATCACAAATGTGTTGCGTTACAAGACAGGAAACAGAGGAGAGTTGAGATGATGTATAGCAAGACATCAGTTGATATGCAAATGTTGCCTGCGCATCAGTGCAGGGTGAACATCAGTTCTTTTATCAGGTGCTCTCTCACGTGACTTCCTGGTGCTTTCAGGTATGGCACACCTTTCTTAAGGGTAGATTATCACATAAAAATAAGAACTATAGAAATGAGTTTAGTAGTTGTAAGTTACATTTAAATCAACTTATATTAAAATAAACTACAAAGAAAAACTACTGCCAGCATCGCTTTCTCAAAACACTTATTCAGTAAGAGAATATTAACATTCTTTTAAACATCTGGGAACAGTTAGGCTAAGAAGTAATAATGATTTCATATGTATATTTTAAAGGAAGGGATCCTTAAAAATATGTTCCATGGCAAGGGTTGGCAAATATTTTGGAAAAGGCCATACAACACAAATTTTTGTTTTGAGGGTCATAGTCTCTGTGGCCAAATCTTCAACTCTGTAGTTGTAGCACAACAGTAGCCATAAACAACAGCTGAAAGAATGGGTGGTTGTTCCAATAAAACTTTATGTGCCAGAAAATATTGTTCAGGCCATAATTTACCAAACTTTCTCATGGTCCACAGTATTTCAGAATTTCTTTTATCTTTCTGATTAACCACTGTCATTAAATATACCAGTGATACCATCAGAAGTCCCCCTCTAGAGCTGCAATAATTCTAATGAGCTATATTAAAAATATATACGGTTTCAAGTCTTCTAAGACACAGAATTCTAGTGTTTCCTAAGTACTGTATGTTAACAGTGAAGATTAAATTTCAGATTAAAAATAGGTACTATTTCTTTCTTTCTTTTTTTTTTTTTTTTTTTTTTGGTCTTTTTGAGACAGGGTCTCCCTGTAGCTCCAGCTGGCCTAGAACTCGCTATGTAGACCAGGCTGGCCTCGAACTCACAGTTTTCCGCCTGCCTCTACCTCCCGAGTGCTGGGATTAAAGGCATGCGCCACCACACCCGGCAAAAATAAGTGCTGTTTCTTTGAACTTAAAAGTTACACATATATTAATATTACCCTAATTAAGATTCATTTAAAGTAATGTAGACTTTTACTAACTACTCTCTCTAGTGTTGTGCTAGAGCTGATGAGCAGAACCTAAAGAAAATATAACTTACTTTATATTTTTCTCACTTAACAAAAGAATCACAATTAGAAGAGTAATGCAAACTTAAGAATGCCTAATGAATATTATTTTCTAAGTTTGAAATTAAAGTTTGTAAGGAAAGGTGTACAAATTGTGTCTTAAACATTGCTACTTTTGATTTGAACTTCAGGTGGCTACAGTTTAGGCTTTGTATTCTCCTGCTAGACCCTGAATCAAAATGGTTCTCCTGGGTACAGTTAGTAGGCAAGATACCTGAAATGATGTGTATGTCTTTCTGCAAGCACTGTCTCCAGCTTAGCAGCTTGACATGTAGACTCTTCAAAAGAATAACATTAAGGGACTGGGTGGGAAGGGGAATAACCGAAAGCCTAGAATGAGAAAAATTACAATTAGACATTGCAACAAGCGGATGCCCATCTATATTTTAGATACAGACAGTACAAATGTCTCTTCACTACAGTGAAGCTCTTAGAAACAGAGAATGTCTAGCATCCAGTAAAGGAAAAACACAGGTATTTTCCTCCCACTTAATATCCTGGCCATACCACTACTGCGAAATGCTTCCTTATCCACTGACTTCATAGAAATATGAAAACTCAAAACTAAACCTATTTTTTAAAAAGTACAGCCCCCTATCAGTCTCTGACGCTAAGCACTGAATCTAAAATGAAACTATACATGTATTATATGATACGATTGGGATAACCAATTTTGTCCCTTCACTAATCAGTCTCCTTTGACGGCATTTACTAACTATTGTTTACTATCTGCTGTTTTATTAATTCATCTAATGTTCAAGAATCTGAGATTATTGACTGCACTTTAGAGAAAGACACAAAGATGTTGTTACCTGCTAAGTCAATGCATTTTAGTCAACACCTTAGTGAAGACTCAAGAACAGAGCACCAAGAGTTTGACTGCACAGCCCACGTGCCCACTACTTGTAAGTTCATGGTTTCTCTTCTCTCTCTCCAAGCACTAAAACGATCTGGGACCAGGAGCGGAGAAATGGACTTAGCAATGGGTTACAATAACAGAAAGTCAGCAATCTCAAGATGGGCAATAGAAAATCCTGTTCCTTTCAGCAGAAGGTTCTCCATTCAACTTCAGTTTGGATGTGGCAAAAAAGCACTTCATGGAGCCACTGGTTCATGTAAAAGATTAAGATACCTCCCCTTGCTGTCAAAAAGAGCAAGGAGCTCTGTTTTCTTAACAGAGCATTTATGTCTTCCCTCTTTAGAAGTGCTTCCCACAATCTCTGGAGGACAAAGAATCTGTACTGCCTAGTGTAAAGTTGCCATTTCACTCCCAGAAGAGGAGGGGAAAACACTAGAAAACACACTGGAACCAGCCTTACACCTTTCACCCAGGTGAGAACAATGCCCTTAGGGGTGGGAGCACAGGCCAATCACAAAGGCTAGGATGCAGAAGGGGCTGAACAGCCCCGCTGGACCCATCACTAAGGCTGGTATGCAGAAAGGGCTGAACAGCCCCACTGGATTTATGACTAAGGCTGGGATGCAGAAGGGGCTGAACGGCTCCGCCGGCCCCATCGCAAAGACTGGGATGCAGAGGCAGCCGGGCAGTCCCGCCGCACCTGTGTGTGTTCCTGGGTCACCTCCACCTGCGGCCCGCGCGCCCATCCTTCAGTGACTCGGGGTCGCCACATCTCGGGGGCTCGTTTCCCGTCGCAGCCCACCCTCGCCTCAGGACTCCTCTCGCTCCCCGTGTTGTCTGCACCCGACACCTTTCGACTTCATCTCCATCAGCCAACGGTCCAGGGCGCGGCGGGGCTGCGGACAGCGCCGCGGTCCTCGGCTGAGCCAGACCGCCATTTTAGACAGCTCAAGCCAGCGGCCATTTCGGGGCGCCCAGCTCGGCCGCGGCGGCACAGCTCCTCACCTGAACCGAGCCAAGAGCCAGTCGTCGCCGACTGGAGGGAGGGGTGTAAAAGAAAACAGAGGGAGGAAGGATGCGGGGCGGGGTGATGCTCTCGGCTCCGGGTCACCGCCCAGGACGCCTCACAGGCATCTGCTTCGCTGCTGCGCGGTCCAGGGTCTGAAACTACAAGTAGCGCTCCGGTGCGACCAAACACTACAGTCTGCAGGAACGGCCCCACTGCCGTCCAATAAGCGCTGGAGATTTTCCCCGCCACCAATCCGCGTTGAGCAGGGAGGCGGGACTAAAAGCCCAAGCTCGGTTGAGGCGCAGCCCCGGCTCAGAGCCGGCTCCGGGACAGGGTCCGCTCCGGAGGCCTCGCTCTTGGGGTGCAGCATCCTTCTGCATATTCCCTCCTTTTCTGGAAGCGCACGGCCAGTTTTCAGGCCTCTTGTACACTTTGGTTTTGTGCAACAGCCCTGTAGACCTCGAAGGCCTTTCCAAATTGCCGCCTTGAATTAGATACAATGGGAAAGTATCGGTAGCGGTCAACAGCAGGTTCCATTATTTACAGAATTTTAGGCTTTTGAGACTCCACAGTATTGGCTGAATTGTTGGATCATGTTTTTCAGACCCTGCACCAACCATAGAAAAGTTCCCAACTTGGAGTCAAAAGTAAGGATAGCTTCTATTTTTCTTAAACGTGCTTCTTCATATGTGGTCTCATATCCTTAAGTGTTGAAAGAAGCCCATCTCAACATTTTTCAGTCTATGACGGCACGCTCTAGCTTCAGAATAATTTTGGAATAAGATTTTATATTTTTGTCTTATTTTTTCACATAGGCTCCCAGTCTAAGCTTCACATGTCTGGAGTGGCTTCATAAATAGGAAAAACTCAGAACACAAGAAAAAACTTCATTAGCTGACACATGAAAAAACTTAGTTGAATATACAAATAACATTAAATATTTAAGAAATACTTAAACTTGTGAAGACATACGAAAAACTCAGAACATAATGGAAAGAATAATGTTAAAGTTTTAAGACTAAGCTGGGTGTGGTGGCCCACGCCTTTAATCCCAGCACTTGGGTGGCAGAGGCAGGCAGATCTCTGTGAATCCCAGCTCTGGGAAGGCTGAGGAAATAAGATTGCCGTCTAGACTGCATCGCAAGTAGAGGACCAACCTGGGTTACATAACAAGACCATGTCCCCGAAATAAGGGAAGCGGTGGAACAATAACTCAGTAAAGTGTTTGCACAAAAAGGCAAGCACCTGAATTCTGTCCTCAGCATCCACAAAAAATTAGGCATGGTGGCATGTTTATAATCCTAGGGTAGGGAGGTGAAGGGTAAATTTCCTAGCCTCATTACCAAGCCCAAGTTCCCACTAGGCTTTGCCTCAAGAAATGTACCTTTAATCCCATCACTCAGAAGGCAGAGGCAGACAGATCTTTGTGAGTTCAAGGCCAGCCTGGTCTACAACGTGAAGGGCTACAGGGAGACCCTGTCTCGAAAAGACCAAAAAAAAAAAAAAAAAGGTATGATTCCAAACCTCAAGATGGACAGATCCTGAAGAACAACAACTGAATCTAATCACTGGCCTCCACGTGCATGTGAACATATACACACATGAAGATGGCATGCTCACACAGACACAAACTGTAATACGGGGCTCAAAATCATCACTGAAGTAGTGACAGAACTCAGTTGCTAGGAAGTCTGAGATAGGAATTCCGTTGACTTTGTGGTTAGTTTGTGTTGCAGTTAAATTTTCCAGAAGAGATGGTGAGGCAAGGAGCTCTGGATCCAGTATTGGACAGTGTCCCACTCTGGCTTTCTAACCACCACCCTTAGCTAGTAGATGCCTTGGAAAGGCATGACTACTTCTGAGACCAGCCCTGAAGGAGTTGATAAAAGCCTTCTGCCCCCAAAGAATGTAGCATATCCTTTACTGAAGGAGAATTGGAGTGATATACCTTCATTTTTGTCAGAATTTGTAATGTTTAACAACAATAAATGAATATAGTTTCATTATTTCTGTGAACTTTATCATTACTGGTGTATGTGTGCTCAGCTTTTTTTGGCTTTATTTTCATTTTATGTGTATGCATGTATTGCATGCATGCATGCAAGTGCACCCATGTCATGCAGTGCCCATGGAGGTCAGAAGAGGGTGTCCGATCCCCTGGAACTGGAGTTACAGAAGCCATGTGAATGCTGGAATTTGAACATGGGTCCTCTGCAAGAACAGCCAGTGCTCTTAACCACTGAGTCAACTCTCCAGCCCTTCAGCTTTTGACATGTATAAAAACTTGTAAGAATTTAGTGACCACAGGTGCAAGATTGGTTTATTGGTATTACATTAATAAAAGTTACATACTTACAAAGAGTTCACTGCCTAAGACATTAGATATTATTACATTTATAATTATACCTTCAAATGTCTAAGAAAATGTAATTAATATAACATTAAATATTTAAGAAATACTTAAACTTGTGAATTAGACCATTTCAAAACATATAGAATATTTATAAATTAAGATTAAAGGCTTAGAAAATAATGAGTGTATAATTTAGCACATTCTGACTATTAATAACCAAAGTAATCATATTAAATTATCAGATTTTTTAAATAG